GGCCTTGCAAGCCTGGCAGAGGGGGAGCCGAAAGATACCGCCTCGCCGAAGAAAGCAGAGGGGAAGAGAAAGAGCGTCGGGAAACATCCCTCTGGAAGGATTAAACCGGCTGTAAAACCCCAGACGGCCAGGAGAGGGCAGCAACGAGGGCCGGGAAAACTTAACTTCGACGGATATTCCGAAGTCCCGGTGGAAATGGAAGGATGGGGCCACAGCTGTAATTGATGGGGGGGCGGGGTGAGGGAGACGACTGTTTATCATACCCATTGTATCTCTGGAATAGCCTTCTTGTTATCCATTTTCTTAATCCGTCTCTGTTAGTTGCTGCCCTAGTTTTGAAATATAACCGGCAGGTTACCGTTTTTGGCATTTTCATTAATTCAGGGTTGAATCTAAAAACCTTGTCAGTATATGCAGCACTTAAAAAAAAAAATGAAATCTGAAATTATATTCTCTCAGCCCCAGGGTTAGAACTGCAAAATCTCCCTGTTGCAAACCTCCCTGTACAGCGAGTCCTCAGTTTGCAACAGTTCTCTTAGTGACTGTTCAAAGTTACAACGGCACTGAAAAAAGTGGCTTATGACCGTTCTTCACACTGATGACTGTTGCATCATCCCCATGGTCACTTGATTGACGTTCGGATGGTGGACAACTGATTTGCATTTATGACGGTTGCAGTGTCCTCGGGGACCTTTTGCAACCTTCTGACAATCAAAGCCAATGGAGAAACCGGATTCACTTAACAACCAGGTTACTAATTTAACACCTGCAGTGATTCACTTAAAAAACGTGGCAAGGAAAGTCGTAAAAATGGGGCAAAACTCACTTAACAAATTTCCCACTTAGCAATATAAATTTTGGGCTCTATTGTGGTCGTAAGATGAGCACTACCTGTACTGCTGAACCACCAGCTTCTGGCTTCCCTCACTGTTAAGGAGAGCCATTGGTGGTCTTCTTTCACTCCCTAATTAGTATTCTGAAAGTCATACATGGGGAAGAAAATGTAGGACTGTGGCCCAAGAATTTAATAGTATAATCCCACAGGTCTACTAAATAGTAGCTCCTACTAGAGTACACTGGGTAGACAAATGGCTACTGCAATTGGCTTGATACAGGGCTGTTCAAATGGCAAGGGTTTGTTTGTTGATGGGTATCACCCTATTTAGAAGACTTAATTCCTGTCCACCAAGATCTGCCCTGATTTTCAGTAGGCTTCTGGACCCTATTCAAGGTGTCGGTGATTACATGTAGTCTTCGACTTACAACATTTCATTTAGTGCCCTTTCAAAGATGTAGCGGCATTGAAAAAAGTGACTTATGACTGTTTTTCACAGTTACGACCTTTGGTCATGTGATCAGAATTCAGATGCTCGGCAACCGGTTCATATTTATGTCGGTTGCAGTGTCCCAAGGTCATGTGATCCCCTTGTGCGACCTTCTGACAAGCAATGGGGGAAGCCAATATCACTTTACAACAGGGTTACTAACACATCAACGCCAGCGATTCAGTTAACAAGTGAGGCAAGAAAGGTCATAAAATGGGGGCAAAATTCACTTAACAGATGTCTCACTTAACAACAGAAATGTTGGGCTCAATTGTGGTCAGAAGTTGAGAACTACCTATACTTACTTATAAAGCTCTTTCCCACGATGGCCCTTTTGCCTTGCGGAGTAGACTAGTCTTCTTCATGTAGAGCAGGGGTCTCCAACCTTGGCAACTTTAAGACTTGTGGAC